GAAGCCATACTTCTAGTAACATGCACAGGCAGGCAGATTCACCGGAAGCACTCTGCAGCCCATTCTTGTCTCTTACTTTACTTCTACGCCCTGAGCAAACCGTGCTGAGTTGACCAAAAGAAGCAGAGTGGCACTGGTGTGGCTGCACTCTATAGCCCCTGCTTCCCTACAGCCTCCCACGCCCCAGACACACAATAAATGATAGGATGACCCCTCCCATGTACTGTATATTCAAATATATTCCCTCTTAGCTAGCTAGACAAATGCTATGCAGACATAACTGTCCTTTAAGCTTTTCTCTAAAGACAGACCTGAGAAAAACAGGATTTTCTAACTGTACAAAAAATTAGAATGTGCAATATGATGCATTTACTACCATAACTAACAAAGAATTACTGGATGCTTTCCATCATTCATGTCCTCTGAAAACTAATTACTTTCTATTCAATCATAAATTTCTATAAGGTAGCCATAAACATCTCTAGAATTAAAGCATCTATCTATCTATCTATCTATCTATCTATCAATCATCTATCTATCTATCTATCTATCTATCTATCTATCTATCTTCTATCTACCATCTGTCTGTCTCTTAACTAATATCCCTCTATCAATCTATCCATCCATTTATCCTTCCATCCATCTGTTCATCTACCTACATGATGATTCTTCCATTACATGCTACTAAAAAAGAGGCCAAAAGGAAAGCATCATCCTCTGCTGAGGGATACACAGGGTTTCATTTATGTGGCTTATAGCTTCAGTTGTGTCACGAAGCTTCCTACTTATGAAATAACACAATAATGTAAGCATAACTGTTAGAACCTCTAATCCTATCTAGATGTGAACCAATGGATTCTCAGGATTTCTCCCACTATGTGAGCCTATTTCCAGCTTGTCTGAAGGTCAGAGAGTTTTAGCGTGTTCAAAGTTGCTGGCAAGCACGGCTACACAACCTAACCCAGGGTATGTTTGCTTGGTGTTTTGGACATTAAGATAGCCCATACAGGTAGATCCACTCAACCGTGACCAAAGGTCAGGAAATTCAAGCATACTTCTGCTCCTTCTTTTGAATCAAGCAGTTTGACCTAGGAAGTGGAGACTTGATCTAATGTGGGTTCACTGCCTAACAAGCTTGTTTTTCTCAAGAACCAGTCAGTGACTTGATGTCTCAAGTGTTGGAGAGGCACATAACTGTTCTGGTTGTCCTTTGGATCATGTTGAAGTAGTCATTTGCCTTCTTCCCCATTTTTGTATTTGGGATATAAAAGTGTATGAAAAATTAAGCACAGGTGGATTTCAGAATTCACTGGAACTCTCTTCTGATGCTATCCTGTGCCTCTGTTTGTTATTTTCACTATATCGTTGCTCTCTTTTCTTGTTCTTCTACTCCCCATGCCCCCTTCCTGGTAAGTGGTACACTTGTCAAAGTATGGTCGCCAACATTATCGAAGACATAAAATACTGTTGTCCACAAGTCCACTGAGAACAGTCTGGTGGTGAATGATCTCCTATCCCCATCTTTGAGCCATCTCCTGTTTATTTTTCCCAGTTTGCGTTCTGTATCTTAGTCTTGGTTCTGGATGCCAATAATTTTATATCATGATTTTAGATTAAAGGGGTTGTCAGTTAATTAATATTCAAAATAGTGAGTGTTATAGTTATTTTAAGATACAGTTATCCTCCATGGTTATGAGTAATCTATTATGATTACTCTTACATTATAAATATGTATTTAATATACATTTATTCTTTCGTTTGAATTTTATCTATTCCTGAATTGAAGAAGCATGTTGCAAGCCTTGACTAGGTTAAGGTCCTATACTAGGCACTGTGGTGTCACATGGATGTTGGTCTAGGAGTACTTTAAAATGCACAGCAGTCACAAGTAGCTTTGATAATGATAATAAACACAGCGTGGCCTATGTTTTTCTCTAAGTGATTTAGATGAACTAAACCACATGCATTCAGTAACTAAATTCGATGTGAACTAACATACAAATCAGGATAAAGAAATAAAGACAGAAGGTATGGGAACCAGGAGGGAAACTTGGTTTAAAACCTGGTGGTGAACGCCTTCATATTTGATTACATTGGTCAATATGACATTTCCAGTGTGTATTTATCACATAGAATATATTCATTTGGTTAAAAGGGCACAAAACAAAGTCAGGGGTTTAACACGATTACATGTACACACGATGTTTTTATTGTACAAGTTTTGCTTCCATTAGTGTGATTAGGAAGTGGTCGGCTGACAAGCACTGGGAAGCAGACTCTGTAGGAGTCTACCCTAGTCACCAATGTGACAGAACTAGGTCAGCAATTATAGAAATTACAGAAAGTGCTCTCAAAATTTCATCTCCATCCTTTCTGAAGATTGGAGAGGCAGGATGGAGAGACCAAGGCATATAGTACACTATTTCTTTCGATAGTCAGCCTTACTAGAAAGCACTTGCCTGAAATTTTGATCACTGAGTTTAGATCTCATATCAGGAAACCGTTTCCTTTACAGCCATGCCCCAGGACCTCTGCCATCTTTGATTCAAATTCCAGATTTTGAAGGGTTTGGCTGAGTCTGGACACAATAACAGCAGTCCATATCCTGATCCCATAAAACATACCATACCACTGAGGGAAGAAAATTCCCACTTCTTATGTTTAGCTTAAGAATATACATTTGGTCACATAAATGCAGTAAAATGTTCCAAGCAAGTCTCAGCATCTGATAAACAGCACAAAGAATGTGCCTATCCATGAAAGCCCCCTGGAAAGGTAAAAATTCCTATGGGTCCTGACAGCTAACACAGGGCTTCTGACCGCTCCCTTGACCACTAATGAATTTTTGACATGGTTGTTCAAGAAAGGACTTTGCAAAGGAACATGTTGTTGTTTCTCTTTATCCTAATACACATAGGTGGTAAGTGTTAGAAAATGTGCAGTATTATATCCTGACTCTTCCAAAGAAAATACCCTTAACCATAGATTTGTTTTTCATAATTAAGATTCTCAGAATCAACTGAAATTGAAAAAGTGTCTGGAAAACAAAGTCAATGTTTTGGTACAAATCATACCTCCACAAACTAATAGCACTGGGGATCCAGATGTATATTCTTGTTGAACATTAAGTGAAACTACAAATTCATAGTTTCTAAAGCTGCAGAAGAGCCCTTCCACTGACCACTACATTGCCTCTGCAGTGATAACTGGGATGCCAAGATTGCAAACAAATATCTGACACTATAATATACAGTGATGTACACTGGCTACCTTCTCCTAACTCTGTGGCTTTATTTTATTTGCTATTGTAGGTTTCTGTGTTTCTCAGAAATATAACAAGTGAAACTAGAATCATGATAGATGGGAACAGGAAATAAGTGGAAGAGTCCCCTAAACTATCTCATTCTAAGCAATCTAATTTTTTTTCTTGGTGGTAATAGGAACTGAATAAACTCTTACAGCTATTAGTAGGCCCCATGGAAAAATACAAACATGTTTCATATGCTTGATCTGATATTATCTTTTTATGTATTTTTTATGAGATTGTAGTGTGTCCCCTAGAAATACAAATAAAAGAAGCAGGAAGCCTACAGTCCTAGAAGTCCAAGAACTGCTGGTATGGGAAAGAGTTCAGACTTCAAAAAGGCACTCAACCACTGGAGCTAGGTCTATGCTTACAATTTTTAAAATCATTTATATAATATTAGATATCCAGTATAAATGTAAACTATCACCATAAACTATATGCCTATTCCTTGGAGTATGGAAATAGAGCAAGCTATTTATTGTTAATGTTAGGGACTATTTCTCTCTGATCCAAGCACATGTTAGGAGATGAAATGAGAGGCTGTGGTGAGGGGAAGCACTAGGAAACATGGGTTGCAATGGGTCCACATATCTATACTACTCAAACTTTTGCCTTTCCAGGCATAACTGCAGCTGAACAGTCACTAGCAACTCTGTGGCTCTTCCTTTATCTTCTCCAACAGCATTACTCACCTTCAGGTCCCGATGGACTACGCCCATCTGATGGCAGTGTAGCACAGCCTCCAGGATCTGCTGAATGCAATGACTGCATGCAAACACCAGGGGGCGTGTGTTAGTTCCAAGCGTTACACTCACTGTCTGTATACCCTTAGAGAGACCGGGTTAAGGAGCAAAGCTAGCGGACAACTATTGTTGAATTGATCTCCTTCAGTCAGAGTAACACATTGCTCACGGAGAGTGACTACTGCCTGGGAACAATCAGGATATTGCCAGCTGTGAGCCATGGTGTGTGTGTCAACTTGTTCTAAAAAGATCCATTTGGACAATATCTCATTTTGTTCTGGAGCTCATTTCCTGGCGATAAATTCTTCCAGGAAATGAACAGGAACACAAATATAATCTCTGAAGTTGTAATGCTCTGCTGCTACTCCACACACAGAAACTCTTTCCCCATTCTTTCCCATTTTCCCAGGATCATTCTTTCATGAGCTACCCTGTTAGCACACAAGGCACCATTAGGTTTAAATGAGGACGCGCGGTGAATTTTTGACAATCGTCAGGCAGGCAATGGTTACCCCGTGCCTAGGGTTCGTCAGGCTCAAGTGAGCAATGTGTAGCCAGTTGTCCTGCTTCGGCAACCCATGGTCTCAGCACAGAAGTGGTGTTTTAAATCTACAGGCAGACATACATCAGAGGCCAAGGTCATTCCAGGCCAGTGCTGGACAGTTCAGCAAAGCCTGCCCTCAATCCAACCCTGGGAATTTGTTGCTTGGAAACGTAGCAGGTTGTATTGGTGCTGCTCTCCCCTTCCCGCTATGATGTATATTTAGCCTGTAGATGAGCAAACTGAAGAGGCATCATGCATCATTTCATTATCCATTTCAAGAACAAGTTGGGAAAGGCATTTTCAACACCATTTTCGACACCCCCCCCCACCTTTGCCCTGTCCCCCAGAAAAAAAACAAAACCAAAGAAACTTCTTTGATTCAGATTTATGGACTCCATATACTGACCTTCAGGTCCCTGTGAACTATGCCATTTAGGTGACAATGATTTACACTCTCTAGAATCTGTTGTATACAATGACTGCAAAGATACAAGGGCAGAATGGAAGGGAGAACATTTTAAAGGCACATAATCACATTGGATCCAAAATAAAGTGAAGGTTCAAACGAAACAAAACAAACGGACAAAATTATATTTATTCACACTTCTTAGCTTTACACTGGGAATAAATAATGCTGAAGAGAGCTAATTCCTCTTTACTAAAACGACATCCAACATAAAATTTGTGACATATTCAGATAAAACAATTTAAGCTGTGTTTCTTCTTGTAAGTCTACAGATTAAGTCAAAGTCAGGATCTCCATATTCAGGAAGAAAATTTGATGTTTAATTCCCAAAATGTCCTGGGAAGATTATCTAGAGATATAAAATCTCCATGTGTTTGTCATACACAATCTAAACTGTTTAAGATCTGAGGTCACAATTAAATATGTTGAAACAAGAGGGTAGACACAGATGAAGTGGTAGGTGAAATGGGGATTTCAAAGAAAGAGACACATGTACCAGTGATTTACAAGGGTGCCTCCTGTGTAACACAGGAAGAAGAAAAAAAGTACAAGCTCCAAGAGGACAGTGAGGGGGTGGAAGAGATCGAAAGTTGACCCATGTCATAAAATAAACCCCTTTCACAGTAAGAAGAGTTCAGAGAAGGGCTAAGGCACTTTCAAATAAGTTTATGATCCCCTGGGGACAGGTAATTTGCCAAGTCTATTTCCATACCTTAGCAAAGGAAGTTTAACTTATTATCATGTTAAACTGTACCATTAATGCTATTCTTATTAGAAGCTTACTGATATCAAATCAACTGCTAATCAAATTAGAGAGAAGAAATTTTTTGACTGTGAGCAGTAATACCCCATAAGCTGCCATCTGACACACAACAAGGCAGAACACATATTGACAAGACTTGTACATATATGGTGCAGTTCAAACCCGAGTACAAACAAAAACGCATTCGCTGAATCAATGGAAAAGTACATAACCTGATAAGGACATTTTCAGTCACTTGGTGTGTAACATTCTGGTACTCTACAGGAAAGTACACTTGGTGTGTAACATCATGATATTCTACAGAAAACTACACTTGGTGTGTAATATCATGGTACTCTACCAGACATTACTGAACTGAAAATAAGCAATCACTGTCTAATGTTTAACAAGACATACACCAAAATGCCCATGACGATTGTGATTTTTTGATACCAAACCTATTGATATGGCTACTGTAACAGACTCAAACTGGAGGTGTCAACTACATAGCTCTCTCCTCATTTTTTCACTGTGTGATTCTTATCTCATAATGTGAAATCCACATAGTCTTTTTAGAACATTTCTGTTTTGTCTAACCATAAAAGTAATTTACTTGGCTTATGGCCAAAATTAAGAAACAAGGATTCACATTAAATTAATTTCACTACTCTTTATTAGTGAGGATGGATATCATGCCTAAGTTCTTGAGGACTAATGAGAAAGCAAAGCTTGAAAATGTGAAAAGATAGCCTCTTAGTGCTTATATCTGGGTATAGAATTATTTTTGATTTCTGGTGGGACCTCTATCCTAACAACTATTCTATAATTAATTCCTCTCCTAATATACACCTGCATGTGATATGGCCCAACCTGTGGATTTTCTCTTGCTTTTTATACTGCTTGCCAACAGTTACAATAGTTTCTATCTCACTTCAACCACTATTTTTCAAACAAAACATGTTTCTCTTACTTAGAAAGGCAAAGTAGATAAAATTTACTTTAGAACTATTTTTACTTTTTAGATTTATTTACTTTATTTTATGTGTATGAATGTTTGTCTGCAGGTGCACACGTGTGTTTGGCGCCCACAGAAATCAGAAGAAGGCATCAAATCCCTGTTAAGTGGAGTTGGGGATGTTTGTAGGCCACCACGTGGGTTCTGGAAACCAAACCTGGAATCTTTGCAAAAGCAGCAAGTACTCCTCACTACTAAACTTTGTAGTGATGTTCCATGTTTATCTTAATAAATAAAACTTTCCTGAAGTCCAGAGAGTAAAATAATCATACTGATTAGCCTTACAGACCAGGCAGCGGTGGCACACACCTTTAATCCCAGTAGCCACACTAGTTTGCATAGAAACCAGGAGGCAGCAAAGCATGCTTTTAATCCTAGCACAAGAGAGAAATATAAGAGAAGATACAGCTTGCAAACACGGTCTCATTCTGAGATTCTCGGAGGCAGGATTGCCATTTTGGATGGAGGTGGAGGTAGGAGTCAGTGATTGGCTGACCTTCAGGATGAACCCCAATTTCTGTCTCGCAGGTTTTACTAATCATGCTACAAACCTTCTCTTCAATTGACTCTTTAATTAAAGTTATTGGTCCTGTTTGGCAAACGGGCAAAATCCCCAGAACTGCTCTAGGTTCCTTTTCTGGGAATAAATAGGAGGATTTGAGTATGTGAAGCAACTAAGCATTTAATCAACGTAGCACAAACAGAATTTTCTACTCGACCTTGACAGCAAAACAAATACTACAGATTAAAAGTGTAGTCCTGTACGGTCAAGTGTACAGAGTACCACAGACAAAGTGTAGTCCTGTACGGTCAAGTGTACAGAGTACCATAGACAAAGTGTAGTCTGTACGGTCAAGTGTACAGAGTACCACAGACATTCGCATTATGCCGTGAGAATGCTGTGGCATAAAACGAAGAAAATTAGAAAGTGAAAGCTGAGCTTTTTGAAAAATAATTTATTTATGTCTGATTTTCGTCTAAGGCAGTGTTTCAACTCTACAGTACAGGCTGCCCTGGAGTTCTTGACCTTCCAGCCTCCATATCCAAAGAGCTAGGGTTACAGGCAGGTACCACACTTAGTTGCAAGGGGAGCTTTTACATACCATGTGATACTCAATATCAGCTGGGTGTCACTGAGGCTCCCTACAACTAGGGGAAACCTGGGGAGCAGTAGAGATGGGGCAGACGACCTATGGTTTAACTTTCATAGTATCAATTTATGTTATGGCAAGCTAATTGTTCTTCATCAGGTTTATCAACATAATAACAAATTAGAGAATGCAGAAGGAAAACTAACATCACCAAGTCTAAATATGTCTAGATAAGTAGATTAATGCTATCTTACTCAAACTAGTAGATTAATGCTATCTTACTCAAAAAATTTTGAATAACCCAGGGAACTTAAAATTAGATATAATGCTTTATACAATTTCCATGAAAATTTTGCTAATTAATGAATTCAGGAAGTTACTCGTGAATCCTCAGAAACAGAAAAATAGATGCTTTACACATCAGCATTCCAAAGGTTCTAATGAAACCTCCAAAGTGTTACATGCTAATATCACTAATAGCATATATCATAAAGGGGCCACTGAGACCGCCTGCAGTCTCTTTCTCTTTGCTGACTTGACCTGGGCTGCACTGTGGAACTTCCCGTGGTGATAGAAACTCTTGGTTCCACTCACACTCGACAGCGACTGTGGCTATTAAGCCACCACAACATGGAAGCTCAAGTGGAAATTGATTAAAAATGAGATTTAAAACAGACTTATAGTTTTTCCTTTTTTTGAAAGTCTTTCTGGAAATCTTTAGACGAGAGAAACGTCCCCAATGAAGGGCTCATCGTAACGAGAATCCAAGGTGGGGATATGAGATTCTCATAACGGCTGGGTCATGATGTACTCAAATCTCCACATGTGTATATAGAACAAGTATCAGTGATGGGAGGAGTGAGCTTTATCTTGCTCGGAGCAAGCCACTTACCTGGCATCAGCTTCGCTGTAGTACTCTCGTGCCACTATGTCTTCAAAGAGTTCACCTCCAGTAACTCTGGGATAACAAGAGGAACACATTTCAAATAAAAGGAAGAGAAGAATTGGGCACCAGTAAGTTTCTAATGTTCAGACAGAATTCTTTTCCTTGTATGATTTTACAATACTAAGTTAAAGCAAACTATTTTAAAACAGTATGGCATTTAGTTTCCTAGTACTCAGATTTGTGTTATCAATAGGTCTAGAGTTTATTTCTAAATACATACAGCAAAATCTTCTACATAAAAGGGCTTCTAAGAAAGTTTTCATTTTAGTTTCATAGATATCAATTGAGGTCCAACAATAATATATGGCATACCCTAGCAACATTTTATGAAGAAAAAGATATGCACATGAATGCTACGTAGGGTAAAAGAAACTCTGAAGGCCACAATTGTTATCTCTTTACTGTTTTTTGGTGTATGATTAACATGCATTTTTTCCCCTTTGGAAAGATACACAAATAAATAACTTTCTAATAAGTATGGGATCATATAACATTGATAAATAAATCGTACTTATAGTATCATGTTGAATCAAGGGCATTTCTTAGTATTGGAAATAGATTCCCGTGTTTAATACAACAAATATTATTATATGTGTGTATGTGTGCACATACATATTTCCATGTTGTAGGTTAATTCTAGAAGAAAAATTCTTACCAGTAAAATTTCCATGTCAAAGGGCACCCATTTAAATTGTGGAGACGACAAGGCAAGCTGCCTTCCCAAGCCCACCAGTTAAATCATTCTTAGTATTTGCTAAAAAATCAGTGAAAATATCTATCTAGTAAAAAGCATTATCTCATATTAATAAGAATTCATTTACTACTGTTGAGACAAGTCTTCTGATAATATTTATGCATGACTCCTTCCTTCGTTACATTGTGTTTGGGTTTGAAGAGAAGGTTTCAGTTTTGGGGCACCTTACTGTAAATAATACTTATGGAACTAGTGCCTTTTTCAGACCATGTCACAGGTGCAAAAAGCCTTAGGCTAGCTTATAAAGCTTCGCAATTGAGGTAGTCAGGTTTATTCTTGATAAAATGGAAGCCAGTGACTACAGAGCATCCAGCATAGAGCAGATCACACACTGCACAGCCCGGCTCTGAGCCACTGCCCAGCACAGCCTTTCCAGTAAAGATGCTGTCAATCATGGGCTTGCAACCTTTGGAAAGGTATCAACTGATGGCATCAAGCTGTGTGCATGATCTTAGACCCAAGTGATACACGTCCTTTTGTTCTCTCCATTGCCTGCTTGGTTCTCATGGACTGGGGTATCACTGAAGGACTGTACCCTCCGGTTAGCAGCACCAATACTGTAAAGACAGGGCAGTAAGTCTGTATGTGTATCTGAACACTTGTGGAACTTCCCCCCTCTTCGCAGCATTCTGAATTCTTCAAAGTCTTGTGATGTGAGTGCTATTTTTTTTCCAATCACTATTTTTATAGAAAAAGTATATGGAAATTGGTTATGTGAATTTATATGTTGTTTTTTCCTTTTGAAACCATAGTACATGTAATTTAATTCACTAACATACTTATTTTTCTCTCTGCTAGAATCTTTAATAATGCAATTATAATGTGCCCTAGATAAAATTCATATAAAGTGATCAGACACAAAATATCTTCTTGCAAATATTTTACTGTTGTACATTAAGATTTAGTGGACTTTCTTCCTGCATTATGATCAAAAATAATATAATTTATACTTTTATTTATATTTTTTCCATCTATGCTTACAACTTGATGGTTAAAGCGCTCACTAAACACTCATTAGAAACCTAGGAGCTGGTAGTAAAACACAGTGGTGAGACACATGCTCAGCATGTGTAGAGCCCTGGGTTCAAAACGGAAAAGATCAAAGACAAGAAGCACAAATAAATTAAAAAGCTTGTTTCTGTTAATGAAATCTGTCCAATATTTGTTACATTAGTACCCCCCAGCATTAACACAAAACGCCTGTTTAATTAAAAACTATTTGAACAATAATCAAATCAACTAACAGAATTAGATTACACTATCTGTGCCAATTACTCTATGTCAGTCCTTTGCATATTAGGAAATGGAGTATGGCATCATCATACACAAGGCTGGCTGTGTATTGCAATGGATTTTATTAATGAAGGGATCTGTACTTAAGGGGGGATATTAAAGAGTCAGAGAAGCTGACACCCTGATAATCTTTGGTGACAACTTTAAGCAGTTATAGTGTTTTCAGAACTGAAGAATGTTTGTGAGGGGTGTTGGGATATAGATACAAACACAGCGCCCTGCCCATGCTATGCGTGCATTCCACTGCCAATATTATTATTATTATTATTATTACATCCTCTGCCAGATGCTGAGCTTTTAATGTCGAGTTTAGATTGTAGAGCTAGCTATCTCAGACAACATTCTTTATCAGCTTTACAAACTCCTTTGCACTACTTAAAATATTTTTCTGTCAATGAAACCACATTATTCTTTCAGCACCACGCATGACAAACATCTACAAAAGAAAAACAAGGGAGTTATAATGAAATGTCCTGTCCTAAAGAGAAACTGTTAGCATTCTCACATTATTGTTTAATGGAGCACTAAATTAAGCTATTGAAGTTTTGAAAATTTTTAGGGAGACGTGTAAGATTTCATAATGCCACAAATTAAATCAGTTCCATAAATAAACTGCTAGATTAATTAACCAATTAGACATTTGTGAATAAAATAATGCCAGAGTTCTGCTATGATCTGAAGCCTATCAATTATAGGCTTGAAGTACTAATAACTGTTTATAAATCTCAAAAATATTAAGACTTACAGAGAAGAAGGATAATTTATTACTCAAAATAGGAGGTTCTGTGTACATAAAAAGATAAATATTTGCTATTTGCATTATTTATAGTGATTTTGATTCATGCTGTATTACTATTCAGAATTAATTTTTCTTCTGTTTCTAGTCTATATATTGCCCTAGAAATGATCAAAAGTAATTTTATCTTGACTTATAACATTTCAGGAATAATATGGCTTGACAACAAGATTAGACAGTTGGTACAGATCAAGGTGGGGTCCCATAAGATAAAGTGATCCAAAAAGCAGAGTTGGAGATCAGAACTGGTTCCCAGGGTGGTAGAGGAAAAGCCAGAAATCTTGGGCTGGAGTTTGAAAACAGGAAGTAACATCAGGGCCCAGTTATGCATAGGGAAGAGGTCAGCCCATTGAACTCTGAGTAGAGTTGGAGAACAGTCAGTGGTCAGACTAAAGCTGATGAGAGTTTATTTTATGTGTCTGTTCCCAACATGGCAAGACTGTCAGCCCAGTCCCCACACTACGTGCCAGCAGCACTACAGTATCGTGTAGTAACCAATGTGCTAATCCTACCTAATCCCAGTTACCTCAAAGGTCCCCCGAGAACCTCTGAGGAACCACTGAGCAAAGGAAGCAAAGTCTGAGGAGGTTCAATAAGAAAGGTAAGATCTAAGATGTTGACTAAGTCCAGTCAAACATTGGAATAACATGCTCTTTTAGGAAGAGCATGGAGACATTGTAAATTCAGTATTGTACATAGTGTCTGGCTAGCTTTAGAGGCAGCTTAATAAACATTTACTGAAAGTTGCAGATTATAAAAAAAAAGTCAATGGACAGAAACCAGTGCTTTGTCTATATGCCAATAATAAATATAGTAAGAATGAAATCAAGAAAAGAATCCCATTCATAATAGCCTCAGTCTCTGAAAAGATAACTCAAACAGAAAACAACAACAAAAGCTACAAACATTCCAAACTTATCTAGAAATAAATTCAACCAAAGAGATGAAAGATTTCTACACTTAACACTATAGAGCACTGAAGAAAGCGATTGAAGAGGACATTAGAAGATGGAAAGACATCCCATGTTTGTGGGTTGGAGAAATTAACGTTGTGAAAACAGTTACATTCATTACTCAAAGTTATCTATAGATGAAATACAATCAGAATTTCTACAAAACCACAGCAGGAGACAAGACAACCCCAACATTCACAAGAAAGCACAAAAGACCTCAAATAGAAAAAAAAATAACCCTGAAGGGGGGAAAGCAATGTGAGAAGTATCATAATACTAGACTTGAAATTATACTACAAAGTCATAGTAACAAAACATCAAGGTACTAGCACAAGTTAAAGCATGTGATAGATCAAATGAATGAAACAGAGTGCTCAGAAATGAGGCACATAGCTGTAGTTTTCTAACTGTTGGTGGGAGTACTCAAACCATTCATTAGAAAGGAGAAATCCTCTTCAGTAGATTGGAAAGTTGAGATCTCTACCTCCTAACCAGCATAAAAATCCACTCAAACAAAATGGGTCAAAGTCCTTAACGTTAGACTTGAAACTCTGAATCTATTAGCAACAACACTTTCATATATAGGAATACACAACAACTCTCAGAATAAGAGGCAAAAATCTCAGATAATAACAGCAAGAGCTGACAACGGGGTTTGTTGTGAAATTTTAAACATTCCACACAGCAAAGGAAACAAGTACCAGAGTGAACAGGCAGCCGACCAAATGGGAGAAAACTTGTGGCAACTATCAACTATTCATTTGACTAGGGATCAATATCCAGCATATGTAAAATCAAACACCTAAGACACAAATTATTCAATCAATGAGTGAAAAACTGAGTTGAGCGGGAATTTTCAAAAGAAGGACAAATGGACAATAAAGGCATTAAAGAAATGCTTAATACCTTTAGCCATGAAGGAAATGTAAATAAAGTTACAGGGAGGACAGGGGAGCTGGCTCAGTGGCTCAGTTGACATGTGTTTGTCTTGCAAATATGTGGGAAAGATTTCCATCCTAAGAACCCACTTATAGTCTCAGAGTTTGGGAGGCAGAGACAGGCCAGAGAGGGGTGGACTTTAGACACTGGTCTATTTGCTGTTGTCTAGGCCACTTGAGTTTGTCTTCTGGTCAGAAGCACACAGGCCCGCCCTTGCACATCTGTGCCCGTGCACAGCCACACCTCCATTGACAGTCCATCTCGTTCTAGTTAGAAT